TTTTAAAGTGCATATTCCTTATTTTAGGCAGTGTCCTCTGGGAGGTTAATGGTGTTGTCTCTCACTGTGCAGTATCTCTTGCACACCATCAGCATTGACAAAAATGAGCAATACATGTTCAGGAGCTGTTTTAAAAGAACACACTGAAAGTCTGTCATTCGGTCATCTCAGGTCTTTTTAGGCCTTATTTGCCAGTAAATCAGAAATGCTGCCAAGGTGCCTTATGTTGGATGTCCAAGATGCACCCTCTGGACCGACGAGTTAGTAAAGGGTCACCGCACAGGATATCGCAAAATGCAGCATAGTTATGATCACATCTATTCCACAGGGTTCAAGATCACAGCAAGAACCATGGTAGAATGGACACACTGTCAATCTGAGACATAATACTCTCTATTTCCCATGACTACCAGACACAGGTAAATCATGGTTAGACCAATGTAGATGACTGTCTCAAAACATTGTGTTTCTCTGGACACTATGGCTAATGGCTAATGGCATCACGTTATGCCGTTTGATCACTGGGGTCATGGCTGACTTAATGAAAACCCCTAGATTTGGAATGAACATTTTGTTGCTTTAGATTCTGGCCTCTAACAGAGGCTGGTCAGGACTGTGGAACTGCTGCACACTGAGCAAGTCTAGATCTCACCTGACTCCTGTCTCCAATGGCTCCATCTGTGCCTCAGTGGACCAGGAACAGTTAGGAACTTCACAAGATCACTCAGAAGCCACTGGGCCGCCTCATTAAAGATTTCACCGTGAGTTGGTTGTATTAACAACACGATGTGAAAGATGATCTGTTATTGTAAATGAACATTTTGAAGCTGAAAGTGTCACAAATGCCTTGCTGTAAGGAGTGATGCCCATAATCCCCCTCAAAATGATCTAAATTCAGTCACAAACATTTTTGTTTGATATGTTTTTTCTGAACTTTTGCAGTTTTTCTTGAGGGTGTACTGAAGTTACAGTAGACGGAGACTGATTAACAGTAGGTGAAGGTCAGAAAACAAATGAGTGAGTGTTTTCACAGATATGTTTTCCATCTGGGAATTAAAGTCTCTTGTCTGTCCAAGTGTTGCTTTCGTCAGAGGGAGGTGAGTTATCGTGTGCCTGTCAATGCGCTTCCTAACCAAGAAAATTGTGAAGAGTAATTAGACCATCTATATTTCTGCCTCTTCACAACGTTCCTCTCTCATCTGGTGCCTCCATCTCACTGCTGCCGTGAGGTGCAGACCTGAGGTGTGCAGCAAATCGGCATTATTTTCAATCAGTGTTTATGGGGACACAAGCATAATAAACTAAGACAGCTGGTCTCCTGGAAATGTGAGAGTTGAAGCAATGCTTAATAACCCAAGTACTTGACACACTATAGTCATTATCCAAGCTTATGTCTGCAGAGAAACTCATTTGCATGTTTTAAAACCATTCAGCATTTTGCTGCAGGACATTAACATGTCCACAATTGAAAGCTACTGCTGGCAATATTTGTACATAATCGTATTTGCTGAGAATGTGGGATAATTGCATTTCCTGCTTTGAATCCTTGAATCCTTTACCAATCGGGTGCTTTCCTGATGGAAGTCAAAACTTCTAATCGGTAACATTGTCTTCTGTTCCTACTATTCCAGCACCAAAAGCTGAGAGATGTTGTAAAACGACCAGAGATCCAACCTTATGTTTTACAGATTTCTTCCAGACAACAGAAGAGTGACATTCACTAATTCTTCTTCAACAAATTGTCATAAATGCCAGAACAGATCCTTACTTCATAGGTTAAACTTGTGCCATAAACTTTTTGTTTTTTTACTCTCTCTGCTTTTGTATTTCTTGCAAATTGTGTTTGTTTTATCTCATTTTGTTTCTTGGGGTCGTGGCGGCAATGTGTCTTTGAAATCTGTGAAGATAAGTCTTCTTAGAAGATGTTAAAAGAGATGTTGACAACTGACAACTAATTTCTCTATGTTTCCCACAAGCTCAGTGACTTGATCTTGCTTTCAGGTCTCATGGCTGGATCAGCAGAGCCATGCAGAAAGTGAGGCCAGTGTGCCTAGAACTGGTGCTGCAAACCAGCAGGTGAAAACAGCTATTGTGCTTTGGGCTCTGAGTTCTTGTCTGGAACATTCCACCCAGGAATGTTTAAAAAACTAAAGATAGTAGATTTGTTCCTTTGGATAGGAAAGAGAAAACCTAATCAAGCATATGTGGTTTGGTGTGGTGACTAACTAATACCTTTGCTTGGTGCAGAGCATGGGATAAAATATATGTGATGAAGATAAGAATAACGAGAGGTAAGGCGATGTTTAAAGACACAACCTGGTGTTGTGGGATGAACAATTACCTTCATGATAAATGATCTGTAAACTCTTCTCTTATCCTTAATTAATATGTTAACATAATTGCTAAGGGAAAACTACATGATCAATTACACTTTGGCACTTTCTGGTCCTTTGTTTATGATAAATGGGTCTTGCAAAGCTCTTTTGTTTTTTGTCTTGCTCACTTGTCTTTTTTTTCTTATTCAGGCTACTGCATTGAAAAATTTTTTTTGTTTTGTTTTCAGAGTATAATGTTATGATTGCATATAGGTACATTCCAGGAAAGTGTCTTTTGACGTATTGTTTGTTATTTAATATCACTTTTAACATAATCAGGAAACACACAAAAAAATATTCCCTCTCACTCCTCTGGCAGAAAACAGAAAAGCACAATTGTAATGGCAGTCTGCCAGTGCTGCCAGCTTCATTAAAGATTGCTTTTATACACTGCCTTTTTTCTGAAAAATGATAACAAGGATGTATTTAAATAAGGGTCAGCTCTTCCTCGAGAAAGCAATTTGCTTATGCAAACCGTATGTCCGCAAGTCCTTTGGAGAACCTGCACAGCAACACTGCAGCACGTTTATTTCTCTCTCAGGCAGGTGGGTCCTGGCAGGACGCAAGGGCCCAGTACTAATTGGCTTTGTGGCGTTCTGAGTTCATCACGGCAAGAGCAGGAGACAATCATCTGCCTTGGCCCTTGACTCCGAGTGCCCTCGAGTGCCTCATGCTGGAAGTCTATCCCATATCCCTCTTTTTTAAATCTAATTTAATAGCATCGTAGCCTTTCAAGGAGGAAATAGAACGGGGGCAAGTTCACGTCTTAAAGGCCCGGGTCTTCTCCTTTCATTCAAGCCGGTAAAAATAAACAAAAAGCTCTGTTTCCGTTTCATACACAGCATACTTGACAGACTTGTTGAATGTTTTCAGCACTAGGCAGTGAAACCTTATATTCAGTAGCATGTGCTTTTTTAAGACGGTGAGTGTAAAGCTTGGCTTTCTGTCAAACAGCCAAATATAATCATTGCGTTTGCACATCAAACAATACAGTTTACCATTTTTGTGAACGTTATTTTGGTTCCTCCAGCCTTTAGAGTTGCTAGCTTTCAAATACTCCCACTGAGAATATTAAATCAGGGCTCCCATAAATAGTGTCTTGATACTGAGTGGTGCAAAGCATGTGCTGTATATGGTTAAAAATAATTTAACGTGTTGTCTTGTTCCCTACCTACGAAATAACGACTTGAGTTGTATTATGTTTTGGATCTAGTGTTAAACTGTCTTTCCCAGACGCAGGTATTTTCTAATCTTAAAATTAGAAATTGGTAATTGACAGATTTCATTTCTCCTGTTTGTTTCTAAGAAACAGTGCCATTATCTAGCCTCTCCTTCTGGATCGCTTTGTACCCCCTTGGGTTTCCTTTTTAACCACCTCTAACCTTAATTACAGAAAACAACATGCCCATTGCAGAGCAACAGCATCAAAACAGATTACTTCATGTCATGTCACCTGATGCACAGCAAAGAAATTGGACTGGAGTCTTGTTTTTGAAGGATGATAATGTTCACTTGCTTCAGTTTTAATAAATCATTGAAGGCTTTACTGTGCAAAGCAATTTTCATTGAGCTCTGAAATTGTATGAAAACATGAGATCAAATAAAATGTTTCTTTGATAACTGCAGCCTTCTTCAGGAAACTTTACAAATGATAACACAAATGTATTTCCTATTTTTTTATGATTTTATTTGGGAACATTTGTTTCAACATCCCTGGACTCTTTTGAAAGATATTTGTGATAATGGACATATTTCTGCAAGTATAAAATTACATTGAATGTATATTCCTCTGTGTCATTCACATTTTTATGATGGCACAAATAACATGAAGTACACCGAAACACTTCAGAAGCCTTTATTACCTGCATCAAGATAACCACTACTATTTTTCGGCTGTGACATCAATTGCTCATTAACAAACAGGTTTGTGTGAAGCAGGTTCGAAAGACATGTGGCACATTCAGGCATGCAAAATGCAGGTCAGAGATGTGCAGAGATTGCACAAGGACTGCAAGGATGTTTCTCCATTTGGAGTGTTTTTCAGTGGTGGTTGATGATGCTCTGTATTGCTCCATTGGTGATGTGTTTGGCATTACAGAGCATCATAGTGATCCCAGATAGAAACAAAATGTTTGGACTGGCTCCTATCATGTTGGAATGAGCATTATCTTGCAGACTGGTTGGGGGGTTGTGTACTAACTGTGCTGCTGTAGCACAAGGTGGAGTAAAAGTCCTGAAGTGTATGGTAAAACATTAAACTGCACAGTGCAGCCTACTTTGAAAAAACAACAGGCTTTGTCCTGCACGTGGTGAGTTACCCCACCACACAAAACTTTTCATCTTCTCCTTTATGAGCATGCAATTCTCGTGCCTTGCCATCAGCAAATGAGACACCTACAGCAACTGGGATACATCAGAATGCATCAACCTTTGCCAGTATCCAAAGGGATATGATCCACGTTGACATGTCAGCTGTCACATTGAAAGAGTTGCCATTGCAGAGACACTTGCATTGAACACTGGCAGCTCGGAGTCATCTGATGATCTTAATCAGGATCATGGATATTCTGTGACTCCAATACTATTAGCCACTGTAGCTGCTGCTGAGTGTAAGTGATTCCTTGTGTGGCCTCTGATGGTTGGGGATGCTCAGAGGTGCTTTGAGGTCATTGGTACAGTTGCCAGAGTCTTCTGATGGCGAAGGGATGCAGAGCACATTAGTAGCTTGTGATTTACCTTCTAGCAACATTGTCAACCTCTTTCATTGAGTTGTGGCTTTGGGTCCAGGGAGAGAATACCCGGTAAAGGTGTGTTTAAGGAAAGGTTAAACCCACACAGAGCAGGACCCTAAAATCCTCGTGAAGTGATGCATATTGAAAGGTCAGTGGAGTCATGACTGGGAGGGGTACAGTAAAACGGAGAGCTTCAGTACTTGCTTGGAGAGATCTTTGAGCCTCATCGCTCTGGAGTGTTCCCTGTCTGCTGGCGGGGTTGGGATTATCTGTCCAGTGCTCTCTCAGCTCTGATTTCTGCTGCCTCCCTGGGTGCCTCCAGTCCTGTAAAGACATCAGTGAGAGACGTGCTGCTCCTGCAATCACTGCTAACCCTCCTGCAGGGCACTGTGGGACTTTCAGCATGTCAAAAGATTAACAACCCCATGGTAGGGAAGGCAAGAGTAGCTTGTCTACACACCCAGGTTTCCCATGTGCATTACAGGCATCGTTTCTGTGAACTCAGGCCTAAAGAAGCAATTTGTTGATTCCACATTGGGGTGGTGTATAATAAAAAAATAACAGTAGATTCTTAAATAATGCAAAATCAAAATCTGTCTTAACACATACATACTTGCTTTGTATTTAACAGTGTTCCAAAAAAAATAGATTATCTTGTTTTGTTTTTAATCAAACTTCAGCATATTATTCAGGTCAAAATGTAGAAATATTTAAACTTTTTCTTGCTGTTCTGTAATATCCTGTAGCCCATTTCTTTTCTAAAGCTGCTAGCACAGATGTTAACAAAGCCCAACAAAGTCCTAGTCATGTTTTGTCAGAGGCTATGTAAGCAGTTCAAAAACAAAAAGTAAAAATAAAGCACAGAGCACAAGAGCCAGTGAAGACGCGTCCTCGTCCCTTGGCTGAAAAAAAAAAACAATAAAAAAAAAATAAAAGTAATTTCTTTCATAATCCGCAAACCCTTCACTCTTATCTGATTTAAAAGGCAATTGTTTTGGCTGATAGCAAAGGTTGGTGTTGTGGTCTATTTTTATTTTATTTGACTGAATTGGCAGGTTGCCCCTTATCAGTCACACCATGACATAATATACCTCAGTTAGAGTAGGAGTGTATTAGTGCAGAGTGAACAGAGGTCTAATTCTAACCTCCCCTTCTTACCCAACGCCCCCACAATCTGTAGGGATATTGAGGAAGACTTGGGAATGATGGAAAAACTGTCTTCAACATGTTTGATAAACTGAAGAAGGTCAGCAGAGACAATAGTGCTGAAGGAGGAACCTGACCCCTATGCCCCCAAAATAAGCACCTTGAAAAAATGGCAGAGATCTGGCATTAGTTCAAAGGAGCACCTGTTAATTCTAAAACTACAGCAGCGGCTAAAGCCAGTAATCTGGGGTTCTGCCCTTTTCCTGGTGTGAAAACATTTGGTGAGAATGTTTATGCAGCAGTGTTCATCTCCAAGGATTTTCGGATTGATTTGCATATTGCAGTAAACCCTGTTTGCCCACCACTGAAGTGCCACACACAACCGCATGACACCAATTCTGCACCAGCAGGCCCACCACACAACGACTGAGGAGGAGGAGTGAGAAATTGCTGCAGCAGTTAAAGCAGTACATTTTGGGGAGATCAGATTGTTCAAACACAGAGCAGAATTTAGCTAGCCTTCCTGCTGTCACAAACAGTGTCTTGGAAACAGAAATAGAAAAGGTCCTGATAGGACTGCATCCCAGTCTCCATATTGGGCGGATTGGTTTAGAAATTCTGATTCAGAGGGAAGAGAGAAATGTACTAGAATCCCATTTTGGGCACGGTTTTTATTGGGAAATTTAAGAATAGGGATTACTGAAATATTTTACTGTAAATTACGAACAGAAAGAAGCCTACATGACATACCAAGTGCATGTTAAATGCTGGAAGAATGTAGAACTAGGAAAACTATGCCTTTCTTGTTTTTTCCTTGTGTCTTGCAATAGATGTTTATACACTTTTCAAAAGTATGTATATATTACAGAAATAAATAATAATTTCAGTGCTGGGAGTCAGAAACTAGGATGGAAGATTTCTAGTTCTGCTTTTTGAATAATGTCAAAAATAAAGATAGTAGTCTTAGCTATTTTTTGCAAGTGGATGCTCTTAAAAGATGCCTTAACCATGAAAGATGTTCCTTAGAAGGTACATACAGGTAAGACCATGTGTGCACCTAAAACATGCTGATTGCCAGTCACAGCTAGCTATGTCAAGCTGATGAGCCCTAATGAGAGCAAACTTAAAGACTGCTAATTTTGACTTTGTTTATGCAGAAAGAAGAATTGGAAGTCTGTGCACCGTGAATCCCTTCCATCAATCGATGGACCAAATGGCTTCCGCTTACTTGCAATCATTCTAACCTGTAAAAATTACGAAATGACTAGAGCCAAGAAGTCATTAATATGGTTTCCTTTAATCCACAACAACTGCTTGCACTTAAAAGACACTGTAACCCCAAAACGTGTTCCTCGTACCACACACACATATGTAAATGCACACAGAGACACACAGCACAGTGTGTAGCTTTCTGGTCCATCCTGAAAGTGCTTCAACGGCTACTCGTCCATCCATTTTTTAACCACTTCATCCAATAGAGGTTTGCTATCGCAGGGCAGACACCGACACAAACACACTCGCATCAGGGACAATTTTTAGAGAAGCCAGTTTATCTTTCTAATATGTCTTTGGACCGTAGGAGGAAGGAGGAACACCCAAAGGACACCCATGCAAACACAAGGAGAACCTATAAACTCCACGCTGATAGCACACTAGGTCCAGGATTAAAGCCAGGGACCCAGCGCTGTGAGACAGCCATACTGACCATCATGCTGCCCTGCTTCAACAACCAAGCTGCAATATTCCAGGAAAGATGTGGTGGCTGGCGTACGCTGGCATGTGCTGTGTCTCTTGGAGATGGGAGATGACAATAAAATTTCAAACATGGTATAACCATCAGAAATCCCGATGCTAGAGGAGAATTCCAGTGCATTTTCTTGGGTTTTTTTAAGTTTCCACATGGGTGCTTTTTTTTTTATCGCCACCTTTGCTGAGGCGTTATCGTTTTGGTTATCCAAAGCAGCATGCTCTGGGTGGTGAGTATAACTCGAATACAGGGGCCGTGCCCCTCTTACCCAGACCCGAGCGCTGCACCAGAACCCTGCTTCGGCTTCCTGTGTTCTTCACAGAGCTGCATCATGTCAAATCCCATGGAATCTTATTAAAGCCAGCGGAAAGAAAGAAAATAAATGAGTTCTCAAAATATGCCCAAAAAACTTTCCCCTTAATATAGAAAGGCACTTGAATTACATTAAAATGCTATTTAAAATCCTTTGACGCCGAAGTACATATCTAATTTAACAATTCCAAAGCTATACCAGCAAGATGAATAAAGGCACTTACTTTTGATGTTTTCAATAATCCCAAAGCCTTTGTGTCTCACCAGGTCCCCACAGGTTGTCAGCTTCTGACCGGAGTATGTTTTTTTCTTTTTTCTTTTTTTATATTGTTCTTTATTTTCTTTTAAATCTAACCATATGCGCTTTTCCCTTTTCTCGCCCCTCGGTATAGACCAGTATCAGGAAAGAATACGGTGTGTCTTGCCTTCACAGTAAACTCAACTCACAATTTTCTAGGCAGAGAGTTTTTATGGGAAAAGTCAGAGCAGCAGATTATTGCTCGGAAGCCTGTGCTATGCGGTGTAAAATTCTGTTCGACTACTACAGCGTGTACTATACAGTAAATGGTGAACGAATCAGCCAGGACACATTTTATTATTATTTTACTGCTTTTTCTTGTGCCCAGTGAGGACACAGGACCACAGAGATAGAAAATACCGTGGCTGTGCTGAGGCATCGAGGAAGATATCACTGAAAAAGCATACACTGGAGCTGCAGAATATGAGCGTAATTGCTAATAAAAATGTGAAATAAAATGGGGATCTGATGCTGTGATAACCCTTTGACTTTTGTGGCATCTTTTAAAGGTTGATTGGTCTGACAATTCCACAAATTCGAGCCATCAGTTTTGATTCTATTGCCACCTTTGCTGTGTGGATTATAATCATATTATGTATTAGAAGCCTTTAAATCCAGATAGCATAACAAACTATAATGATGATTCGTGTTCAGCTCTGCCACATAGAAGCCCATTTATTGTTCATAAGTGTTATAATTGGAACTTTATTACATTACCAGGCAGCGCAGTGTTATTTCCTGTTATTTGTCTGATGTGTCTTAAAGAACACTAATCTGATAAAGGATGATTATTTCTTCCTAAGCTTTTAAGGAATGTGTTAGTGAAAGTTATTGGTTTTTAAAAATGTGTTGGGCCTGGTGCAAATTAATCCTTCACCTGGTGACAAAAAACTTGAGTTAAACACGAAATGAATTTCTCAAGCAGAACAAATGTTGGTTTTTTTTCAAGTGTGTACATCTAACCTAAATATCTCTGTCCTTCAGACTAGTTCATGTTGTAATGCTCTATGTTGAGGGAATAAAGGACATACACATGAATCTGAAAAGAATGCCTATGGGTGCCACAGAGAGAAAGGGGTCACCACATTTTAAAAAATGCTGGATATTTTTATAGTGTCTTTTTTACACATTCCTTTATAACTATGTGTTTTGTAGTATGGTATATACATGTTTTTAATGTTATGATTTTATCTAAATTATGAAAATATTAAAAATAAAGGACAGAGTGCTTATAAACACAGAAATTTCCCAATGTATATGGATGGTTAAGTATATTTTGCTTATGAAATGGAATACATAAACACATTTGAAGTATAGTATTGCAGAAACACGGTGCTGTACAGCACAAAACAGTTTCGCTTGTTTAATGCAAAGTACAATTTATTTAATTTAGGATGTGTCTGGCTTAATGAGAAATAAAATATTTGTTGTTAATACTGTATGGCATTCCGTAATATCGCCAGATTTCTAGGTACTGTATGTAATGTCTCATACGCAGATGGACTGATGTACAGGAGTCTCCATTACACTTCAGTACGGGAAATAAGTGCTTTTACATTTTCCATTTGTCTGCAAAAAATAGCCTTGCCTATAGTCTTTACTGCAGTATTTCTAGATGCAACAAATATCCATACAAACCTTTTGCGATTGTTTTGTATGGTGGAGTATAAATTCTGAATGTTCTACATCTTTGGCATTAAAATAAGAAAATTACAGGAAAAAAAACAGGAAAGAAATATTTCATTTTGTACAGCAGTCCACAATTCCAGATGGCACAGATGGAATAACAGGGGAAGTATTGAAGCAAAAATACCTGCGTTACAAAAAAATACAGAGCAATGGTTAATATTCATCTCAATCCCAAGTCATTCTTTGTTCACTATACAGTACCAGAACACTCTCTTTCATTTTCTAGGCACCCTGGGCCTCATTTCTGCATCTTCGGACAGTCTTCTTTTTTTCGGGCTGCGATATGTGTTTGGCCTCACTTGGCAGTAGTGACCAATGGCAGGGTCAGAATCAATCTTTGTCAGGCTCGTAATTGACTACTCCCCTAATTTATGAGGCGTGTTTTCCATTAACAACAAAATCTTCAGAATTAAATAAGAAACAGACCTTCACAAGTGCTGTTGCATAGGTGAAAAAGGTATAAACATTGATAAATGGCTGCACCCTTCTCTGGGCTTGACTTTGAAAAATACTGTCTCAGAGTTTCAGGTCACTTTCTGACAACAATTAGGCCCAGTGAAATAAATAGACTATAGCCTTTTTCTTTTTGTGATATTATTCCTTTGGCAGACTAAAACCTTACCTGCAAACAACTAGACATTCATATTCAGTAAGATATAATTAGGACTGTTGCTTAGATAATGACACCACAAAACTTCTAATTATGTAACAACAGAAATAAAGAGATATACTCCATCTATTCTTAAGATGTCAGATAACATCCCTCCATGTCACAGTGTGTATGTAATTTCTGGTATTGATAGGGTGTACATTTTCAAATACAAAGCTGAAAGACACAAAGGCAATCAAAATTAAATGCACCCCTTTCCTACCTTTTATGTCTAATTGGACTGTATTTAAATGAAATTGAAATTAATTAACCCTTTCTCTGCTTGCTGGATCTCAGCAACAGGACCACTTTTGCCACAGAAACTCCTTTTGTAAGTGAAGTCCTGAAAATATTTATTTTGCTCGCCTCCTAACTGGCATTTCAGTGAGAATAAGGCTGTTTGTGTAATGAGGCAATTGCTGTTTGTGTAACCATTAATGCTGGCTTTTTTTTAGTGTCTAAAAGTGAAAGTATGCCTAGGGAAGTGTTGATTTAATTGCTATTATGGGAAGTGATGTGTTAATATAGCACTGTTACCTCTCTTTGTGCTTTTCTATGATATGTCACTTGCCATGTGGCCGAAATCTGAAATATCTACTAAAGCCACAAGCACCTAACCAGCTGCTTTTTTTCTCCCTCCACCGTTTGTGTCACTTATTTTCTTTTAACGAGTATTATAAATTGCAGAAAAGACTGATATATCCAGAAGACCTTTTGTTTTTTAGCATATATTGATTTCTGAAAATGTAGGGGTTGAGGTCACTAATTCCTTTTTTCATTAAAGAAAAGCCTCAAATTCACTATATTTAACAGCCTTTTACCAAGCCAATCTTCAGCCTGAATAAATGACAAGAATATAAGCTCCCCTAGATGCCATGGTGTAAATGTATTAGCAGTACTAAGAGACCTACTCCTGGTATAATTATGTTAGGAACCAATAAGACAGCTTGGAAATCAATATGCTAAGACAGATAGAGTAAAGGACCGTGGCCAGCGAACTGGGAATAGATTAGCCTGGCAGGTCCCAAGTTGAGCTATGAAGACGAGCATATCACCAGCTCTTTAAGCTGTGCTATATTCTTCATTTTCTCAAGGAAAATGAGCATGTCTAATTTTTTTGGCAATAATGCCAACTTGTTGTGATTGTTTTATAGGGCTAGTTACATATTATTATTATTATTATTATTATTATTATTATTATTATTATTATTATTATTAAACATTAATCACGGTACTGTATGTGGAAATTAATTTTTGAAATTATAATTGCTTCTTTTTTATTTTCTTCTTTTGTGCTACACAATGTGTTTTCCCAAAAGATCTCATTTTATCCGTTTTTCAGCTGGCTAGCATCCCAGTAATCCTGCTGTCTCTTTATTTCAGTAACCTGTTTTTTTCTATATAAAAATGTATTTTGAGCTGAGATAGCAATTACATATGTATAAACACATTTTCTAATTATAAAAAAAGATGTAGCAGCATCTAGTGAGTTCATTCCCCCTTTTTGTTATTCATTTCAAAATTATTTGATTTCATTTACTTTTAAAGGCTTATTTGTTCTCTTAAACAAAAAGATAAGTATAATTTAGACTCAATTAAGGTTAAAGTAATAGACAGCCATGGAAATAAAAGCTGTCCCCTTTGGGTACAGTACAGTACATCTGCTCAAGTCCAATCAAGCTTTCAAAGCCACAGGAGTGAACAATAGCATCCATCAAGCAGGAACAAAGTCAGAGACATAAGTGGTCCGAATAAGTGTGCAATTTCTGCCCATCTGACTGTCCTGACACAATTGCTCTAATTTTCTTTCTTAGAAATGACTGATAAAAGACTTAGGTAATTGCTATGGAGACAGAATTTCTTCCATCAAGGGGGGATCTCAAATAATACCGCCTCAGGGTCATAAGATGGAGTGTCAGTTTCTGCAAAGTCCTAAATTAATACTTGTCCCTTCTTCAGCTATACTTCCTGTAGATCTAATTAAGTGAATGTAATTTATCTTGACAATGTATCGGAAATCACTCAATCAAGGGACTTTTGGTAATGACCAAAAATATTTAAAACACACTGGACTGTTCCTAGCATTATTATTTTTTTAAGTCGTGTGTGCCTTAATCAAACAAGCACCAAAAAAAAAACACCAAATGGATGTGCACTGAGGATCTTAAATCGCATTTGAATTAAAAGCAAGATAGCCCGTTAAACCGCAGTAATTTGTGACAGTGTAAAAAACAGCTGGCTGTGACGCCTCTGTTCGACCTGTGTCCATTCGGCCCACGACCTTGTCCTCTGTAATCAAACTTAATTTATCCAGCTGATCTCTGTATTCCAAGGCAATGAGCTGTACTCACTGGGAAATGCAGAAGAGCCACCAACAAGCTAATGATTAGGAAACAGCTCTAAATTAAGCGCACATCAACACTGACATTGGGGCAAATTAAAACCTAAGACAAGCAAGAGCCCATGAGGGCAGAATCATGAACTTTCACAGATAAATTGCATACAGCATCTCACCAAAACTTTGCCAATGTAGCAGCCGTCATCCTAAAAATATACATTTTCCAATTCATTGCATTCTTTTATAACATGAACTTTAAAATAGAAAATTGCCCCTTAAATGAGGAAATGAGGTCTTCGTGAGACCCGTTCTGTTTGCAGAGTAATGCTGGCATAATGTTTATTATACTACAGTGCATGAAAGAATGATGCAAGGGAAATATGCTAAGATCCCATTTGACTATAAAATTCTATGTGATGGGGCATTTTTTGCACATTTTTTAACTCCATCTGTATTGCCTCACTATGGATAGCAGTGAAGTATCAGCCCCTTGAATCCCCACTGATACTGAGGTGGCGT